GTCGAGGGGGTCACAAACTAATGCTCGAAAGCTGGTCGAGAGTCATTTTAGCTGTTCGAGGGGAGTGCTGGAAGGCGTCTCCGAAGTTTTCATACATAGCCATAGTGATCGGTGAGGTCTTTCCTCGGACACATGCGAGCATGCATGCCTCGGGTGTATCGACAATGTACGAAGCTAAGGGAGTGAAACAGTATCTGAGGTTCCCAAGTGGGTCCGACATCATCCGGCCGATGCGTGCAGCTTGCTTGAGCGGCTCTAGCACGATATCTAGACACTGGTGGACTAAGCGGGCTTCAAGAACACTCTGCATCCGTTTCACTGGATGCAGAAATTCAGCAATTGGAAGCAGCGCTGTTAGGAGGAAAGCATGTGAGGATGCCTTGTTTCGAGTTGCCATCTTGATATTGGCAAGGCTGATCAGGAGCGGGTGAGCGACACGTCCACCAGTCATGTTGGTGATGTTGGTCTTATCAGAGGACAGTATGATGCCTAACAATGTCGCACCATCTGGAAGTTGTGACTACGATGAGATGTGAGAGTTAGCAAGTTGGAGACCATTGATAGTCAGGTATGTATTACCTGCATCGACCATGCTGCGTCACCTGTCAGCCATTCATTGTAAATTCGTGATGTGCGTTCCACTGTGTGATATACACGTTGCGGCGTGACATCTATTTCTTTAGCAAACAACGGGTGGCTAAAAAGCGATTCGATACAATCCAATGGATCGCGCCAGTACAAATATAGCAGCTGTTTTGTTGGGTGAGTGGTTGAGACTATGCGGTACTGCCACTTCGGAACAGGAGGTAGCAGCTCAGCACGACCACACAACTCCTTGGCTGTACAAAAGGAGAGAGACAATGCTTTAATCTGCGAAGAAATCAGCACTTGTGACGGTAACATGCCAGCTGACTCAAGCCGTACTAATTCGAGCTCCAGGAACTCATCTATGGCGGCCATACTTAATGACGAGCACACTTCAGTCACCCATGTAAAAGTACCTCTTAGGTACATATATTCTCTCCTAAAAACCCACCTAAGGGGTATGTTTTTACATGGGATCCCGTGCATGATAGTTTCGAACCGGGCCATCCAAATACTGTCCCCAGGAGGGCTGGGCCAGCTGGGTCAGTGTATTTGGTCTGTCCCATGACCCATCTGGGATAGTATCTCAAGCCACATTATTATTTTTAATGACCTGGGGGTGTCAGGGGTCACAAATAATATAAAGCCATAGCCTTTCGCCTGATGCTCTGATACATAGTTCATAGTCTCTGGGCTAGCCCATCCCTAGTTATATAGTCCCTGGGCTAGCCCAGCACCCTGATACAAATGATGTGGGATAGCCCACCACTGGTTTATATAGTCTCTGGGCCAGCCCAGCATCCTGATGCGGGATAGCCCACCCCTGGTTATATAGTTTCTGGGCCAGCCCAACATCCTGATGCGGGATAGCCCACCCCTGGTTATATAGTTCCTGGGCCAGCCCAGCACCCTGATACATGTGACACGGGATAGCCCACCCCTAATTATATAGTTCAAATATTATTTGTATTTTTAAAATTCAGCTATTTGTCATTCCAGGCAACATATTTTATTTTGGCCTTCTCATGTCAGGCCTCCCCACACTATTCCCACACATCACATTTCCGCATTTTTCAACCCCACAGCGTGGGAATTACCCCACAACACCAAAAACATCGCCCATTTTTAGAATCTCCACAATATTAATTAATTTACACCACCTAAAATATAACCCATTTTGGTAACTCTTCAGAATATCAACCTCCTCATGTCATTCCTGTCACCACTACACCACAATCACTTATCCCTTGTATCTAAGTGGTAGTATATGTTATATATGTATAATATAACATAATAGACCGCTTTTTTGGTGTATTTCTGTCCACATGCCTCCTCTAAGTCTGTAATTGCTATGTCTGGTAACAACATGTAAAACATTTTCGCATTTTTGCCCCTGTGATGGGAGGGTGTTCTGGAAGGTGTAGAACATGTTTAGAAGTGTATATCAACTAATTACACCACTTGTTTGACCCTCTGGAGTTCCCTGGAGCTCCCAACATCAACATGTATAGCATATATGCATGAAATACAGAATTGGTTCACATTTTTGAGTTTATAGCTAGATGTAGTTGAAAATACTGTCCCCAGCATCAGTTCAACATTATGAACAATGTATCAGCAGCTCATGACAGCAGGTGAAGCCCTTGTGGTGTTATGTGACTACCCTCTCCTGATGGTTCACTTCCTGAGAAAAATTTTCCTGCAGGAATGCAGCTCCAGGATAGTATGGGAACCATTCCTAAATATATTTAAGAGCATTTTAGTTAAGTTGGCACCACAGGATACCCACAGGGGCCTTGTACATAGACCAAAACCTCCAAACATGCATTTTCGCACTTTTGGTGTTTTTCACTGCTTTAGCTGTTCAGAACTTGTCCAAGCTGTTCATATATCATCATTAGTACATATTTACATGATTTATATCCCTAAGATCAGTTAGATATAGGCCAGAATATTGGCATCTGGTAGAAAGGGGCTAATTTCACTGATAAGGGGCTATAGTCTTCCCCAGGTCGGCATTTGATGATCAGACACTTGGAATACATGTCTAACATACCCATAATGATAGCTCTCAATTTGTAGAATCATCCATCCAATCCCTATAGAATGGCAAGCAAAATAGTCATGTCATAGAGCGTGGGAAAGTAAAAGTGACAAAACATCGAAAATCACCATGTCCACTGATAAGGTGCAAGAGGCTTCCACAGAAGAAATATTCATGATCAGACCTTTAGAACATATTTTTAAAACATCCATAAACATAGCCTAAAAAGCTTTTAAAGATCCATTCAGGATTGAGCATATGGTGAAGAAAATCACATATGAGGTGCAAATTTAGACAGATACTGTAGTTCAATCCCAGTACCATACATGCCTAACAATTGGTGATTTTCGATGTTTTGCCACTTTTACTTTCCCACGCTCTATGACATGACTATTTTGCTTGCCATTCTATACACCGGAAGCATGGATGACTTTTTCGCAGCATAAAATGTTGAAAAAATGCTAAAAAAGGTTAAAATAAATTTTACAATTTTGTGGCAATCAAAATGTTTGACAGAATTTGGACTTTTTATCCACTTCTTCGTGATGAAAAACATTGATCGAAGTTAAATATTGAGTCAGATTTCGTCCACAATATTGCATCAACATATACTTCAACAATTCAAACACTTTTTCTGCAGTACAAACCTAGATAAATTTTTGACTTTGTGCCATGCTCATAACCAAACTTCTATCATCCTTTGTTCCAACACAAAGGTTGGTGTTTTTTTCACCGTTTTTCCAATGTTTTTGTCACCAAAATATGCTAGTCGAAGTTTGAATTTTGCAACCAGATAATATTTAATGTTGTGATCAAGCTCAGATTATCATTTTGTCCGTCAACATAGTCTACCTTTTGTCCAGCATTTGAATAAATTATTTCTGGCACTCAAATTTTAAATCTAAGAGCCACAAAATCTATTAACTTTGTAGGTGGCATATACATTAAGTTCACAGTGCGTCAGAAGTGTGTTTGTATTTAAAATGTGGTCAGCACAATTTCTTTGTTTCAAACATTGATCATATTTAAAATACAGACGTCAGAAAAATGTTGATGATATTTAAAATAATGTAGGTAAACGGGTCGAGAATTCCAACGAGAATGACACAAGGAGCGGCAGCATGGGCCTTGTCGAATACATCACTAACAATGGCTTCGGATTCACCAAACCACATCGTGAGCGGCTCATATCCCAGTTATTGTCATTGCGTAGGTACTATTTACTTACAGTACAACAGTGACCGTACAAAGTGACCGTCATCTCGAATCAAATACTTACTGTCTTCCTGTCCCCCGCCGTACAACCTTTCACGTCATGAGTCGGAGACGAGCAGGGTCGTGCGATCGACCATAGCCATTTGGCACAGGCGAAACAACATCCATCTGCGGGACGTGCCACACGCAGTATCGCTCACGAGGACCATCCCCGAGGTAGGATTGCGAGACTTCCGCGGAATGGATGAGTCCCCCCCCCCCTTACAGCCCTGAGATTGAGCGTCAGCAACAAAATACACGGAAAGTCGGCAGCAAATACCTAGCCTGCCCCAGCCCACCTCCAAATCCGCCCCCACGTCGATGATCTCATGGCCCGCCCATGAATCCTGATAGCTTCAGACCGACTCGCGAGGTCTTGTTCTTGTTCCTGGTTTTTCTGGTTAGCCTTGATTGCTTTCATCCGCCGCGCACCGAAAGGAACTTCTTGGGATGCTCGACAGGGTATTGGACTGGTCCTGGAGCTCGAGTTTGACTTTGCCGAGATAGGATTGCGAGACTTGCGCTGAAGTCCGTGCTCCGGATGGCAATCCACAGCAATACGGCGCTCTAAGCGCAGGCGAGTCAGTGCTCGCCTGATGAGGTTGTCGAGGAGATCGCCGTCGTCCCGATGATATGTTAGACGTAAGTCTGGGGTGAGTTGCATTGTGACAGGAAGTTTACGTGTTGCATGGCGGTGGCGTGAACATCGGAAACTTCACCAAAGTCTCCTGCCGGAATGTTTCGATGTTAAACGGGGTGCATTTGACGGCAACAACTGTGATATTCGCGTAAACCGCGTCAGATAAGCTTTGGTAAATGAAAAAGTGACTAGCCTTCGTCTGGAACAGACGGAAGGTTGGCAATTTGCCGGGCCACCGCAACGCGCAAGTCTCAACAGCGTGTGGTCTTCCTTCAAGCTGAAGTCGACCTCGATTAAATTCAGTAGTCGCATAGTCGTTCCGGACGTAACGATAGGGCTTATACCAAGCTCCATGAGGGTTCCAAGGTTGGAAGCAAGGATGACACGCATCCAGCACATAGGGTCAGAGGAATCCGAAGCCATGATGCCATACAGTGGTACTTGACGGCAGACCAAGCCAATGAGTAGCGTAACGGCGATCCATAGCAGCTTTTGGTTGAAAGGAACTTGAAAACGAAAGAACTTGATGAGTTTTGCATGTCATGACCTACAAAGGTATGTATAGCACATACTTTACAATCTGGCGAAGAAACCTCTGGCAGGAGTGGAAGGAATGGCCGGACGAGATTCAGAAACTGGAATGTAAGCAACTACAGTCAGTACCACTGAGTCGACTAATAGACTTTGAACTTACAACTGCTCATCGTAGCTTGAAGTCCAGGTGTGGCCTAGTGTCCCGAAGAGAAGTGTCTTGGGGTGGCCTTGTGTTGCCACCGAAAAGAGAGACGAAATAAAAGTTGGGAGCATCGAAGTTACGGTCCAAGAAGCCCTCTGCAGAGCAGGCGACGGGGCCGTTGAAGTGATTGACGGTGAACGTGGGGAAACCAGAAGGACCAATGACACCAGCTTTGAACGACGGGTAGACTAGGATCACCTCCTTCTCAACCTCGCGCAGTATCGAGTAAACAATGCCGCTGATCCCTCCATCTCTCGCACAGCCGACATGAAAGGATTTCGCACATTTGCCTTTAGTGCACTGGATGGGTGCACCAGGGGCCTTCTGTCGTGCCTTTGAACAAGCAGCACATTTCTATACGCGAAGGTTAGCTAAACGTGTGAGGTGTATGTTGGAACATACCAGATTCCACCGATCTCTCACGATCGCATCCACACCAAATACCCTTTTTCTCCATGAACATCTCCGTCTCAACCCCATCCACCCAAGTCTCAGGTACTACTTTAGCACACTCTTCATGCGCCATCCAGCCTCGCTTGAAAGACTCGATAAGCTTTCAGGAAGCTCCCCGTTGAATCTGTAAGCGCGCGTTTACGTTGCAATCCATCCTAAGACACGAAGGAGAACGACCAAATCTGAGTGTGAGCAAGCGAAGCGTCTCGCCTTTGCAGACAAATGTTAGCAGGTACTACTCACTGGCTGGTTGTGTTCTGAGAACGATGTGTCTGTTGCGGAAGGCAGAATGTGGCTATCATTCTGACTCAACCAGGGGTCTCCTATAGAACTAGCTCTTGGACGTCTGTACAAATCAAATTGTAATCTTCAGGCTTCATCACCACCGCTCACCTTCGGGCAACCTCCTGCCACTATAACATCCCTCAACCACAACCCCGCAACAGAAGACACGTCTGGTTAGAGATGGAGTAGAAAGTTTACGAGGTGTCTCGTCCCCACGTGCTAATGGAGTCTGTTTACGAGGGGAGCTGTTTAAATCCATGGATTAAGAGATATTCATGGAGAGATGATGAAAGGACCACAAGTAAACGAAGCCAACAGGGCGCGCCGGCCCGTCCACACGTGACTGAGCTGGTCTGATCACGTGCACTTGACGAGTCAACGCCTTTGTGATCAATGTATTCTTATGTATGTCGTGGTACATGACGACCACAGCGACATGAGACAATGAATAAGAATGAAATAAAAGGGAGTGTATGAATTGACGCTGGTATAATAAGATGTGCGGCGAAGAATAGTTGTACAATAATTGAAGTCAGTCAATGGCAATCCGGTATGGGGTTGATGATCATGAACTCTGCAGGCCAGTATCCGGTGTCATGGGGGTGAGTCGTGACAAAAAAGGGTTGCGGCGCATGCGCACAGTCCGTGGAGTAAATCCTCCCTCCTAGCTACCTGGAGATGATGAAACTGAGGCCGCAGTGGTCGAGCGGCGGTGGAGACTGTGCGATCCAAACAAGGTCCTCAATCGCACTGGAGTTGACGTTCCAACCCCAAAATCCCCAGCAGATGAACCAGGAGCAGATTGTGGGAATGAAGCTGAACAATTTCGGTGGGTTTCGTGACGTATGTGAAGTTTTTGTTGCCGACCACAATATCTTGCACCTGGAGAAACATCGATTGAACGTCCTGCATTACAGGAATACAAATAGCTAACATCTTTCTTGACACGAGCTAACTGAATAATACGCTCGTCGATCGTGCCTTTCGTGATCAGGCGATAGACAGTCACTTGGCGCGTCTGACCAAGACGATGAGTGCGATCCATGGCCTGTGCATCGTTTGACGGATTCCAGTCGTGATCGTAGAAGATGACAGTATCTGCTGATGTCAAGTTGATTCCGAGGCCACCTGCACGTGTGCTTAGGATATATATGAAGATGTCCGGGGACTCCGGGCTAGAGAACATGTATCAGAGTCGAGTACATTCAACCTAAGTCGAGCACTGACCATGTCTGCCAATCCATCGCCATATTTCGTCGATCTTCCAACTTCGATGAGCCATCGAGACGTAAATACTTGTACTGGCGGTAGACCAGATATTCCTCCATAAGGTCCATCATACGAGTCATTTGGAAATATATCAAGATACGATGGTCGCCCGCCTTGAGCTCCTGAAAGAGGGCGTCTAACCGAGCGAGTTTAGCAGAGTCATAGATCAGTCTATTTGCTTCTGGTATTTGCATGCTTGAAGATGGTAGCTGGCTTGCAGGGGAACTTCCGACAAGTCCTGCCGAAGACAAAGCAGGAACTAGGGTGTGGTACGCCTGATCAATGGTAGGCGAATCCCGCAAGTGCTGAGGGAGCCCGTATATTGCCAATGATTCCATCGGTGCCTCTAGCAACTGTACTTGATGCTCTATGAATGTCCGATCTGTGCAGTGAAGAAAGATCAGAGGTGCTACAGCCGGCGGCACAAACCACTTCAAGGTTGGTCGACGTAGATTCGACGCCTGCCAGGCTGTTGAAGATATATCAAGAACATGTGGCAGGCCTTCCGCGGTATCCAGGCTCAAAGAGAGACGGGGGCTTATGCTGAACGGATGTGCGCCTGCATGAGCAGCAAATTCCGCTTCCCTATGAAACGGTTGATCGGAAATTGGAAAAATAATCATGGGTAGCTTACTATGAAATCCCTGTCCTCAACAATCCTATTCTCTTCCTCAAGTGCCCGAAGCCAATTGCGCATGAAGGAAGATACCTTAAAGCTATGGACGTCACTCGGAGTGGTGTTCAGGAGTCGAAGAAATGCGAAGGCAGGTGAACCTATAACGTGTTACATCCAAGGGACGGCCATTCGAGCAGCATCACACACCTTCAACATCATCGAGCGTCGAACGGTATATCCACCCCGTTGACCAGATATTGAAGAGGGCACTCGTGCAGTCCGATCGCACACGCAATCCAGGCTTTTCACATGGAACATCTATAAGCCCACCATCTTGGTGGAATAACGCCGGAATTTGGTTTTCGATGGGGTTGTGAGTTGAGTAAGGAAGGGCAATAAAATTGTCTTCGCGGTTCAGAGGACCAGATTGACCAAAGCGAGATAAAGAGAAGGGAGCTACCACATCTGCACGTTCAAAGGGCTCGGGGTGGTTGCAAACCTGTAATGGAGCAAGTCAATATTTAGAAATGATAAGACCAAATCTTAGTCACCTTCCGGAACTGCATCATGAGGTTTATTAACGATCGTGCAGAATCAGCATCCCCTATGTCAGAGGCCTTCTCTAATAGATCTACCACAAATACATTCGCCAGAAGTGCACGGTAGAGAGTACGTTGGCGGGATGACAGATCAACATAATGATCGACCTCGATCTGTTGAAGATAATATGTGAGTGATCATTTCTCCGTGCGTAAATTAAATAAAACCTTCTCGCTCAACTCGTTTTGCACATGTCGCTTGACTCGCCGTAACATGAAAGGCTTCAAAATCGTGCGCAACCGCCGTAGTTGACGTTCATTGAGCTTGCTGCCCTATTCTCTGCAGCGTTCTCGATATCCTTGGAGAACTACTCATTGAACTCATCGTGCGAGTCAAAAAGACTGGGATGATGAAGTGGAGCAATGCCCAGAGCTCTATGTGGAGGTTAGCAACTGCTGACGCTGCTGCCCTATCTTACTCGCCTTGCATGGAGTTTTGGATTGGTGTGCCGGTCAAAAGCAAACGATTGCGACATTGGAATCTCGGCAATGTTTTCCACCGTACACTAGAGTTGCCATTTCACGCGCTGGAAGTACTGCTGGTCTTGAGTAACTTTATACAGAAATTAGCACAGCTCGAAACATTATGCAACTGCAACTGACCAGCTGGTAGCTTGTAATCAGGACATGAAACGGTGTGTCCTTGTCATAGCTGATCCCTTTTTTGCTCCAGAACTTGCGCAAGGTGGTTCGGTCTTTGACGTTCCCCCAATAAGACAGGGCTTTCAGACCAGGCAGAAAGCGAGTAATCTCCTGTTGCCAGTTGTGCAATGTAGAGGCTGGTGCGACAACCAAAAATGGTCCCCATATGTCGTGTACCTCGGCAGGGTAGGCAAGGAGAGGTATCGATTGCACAGTCTGAGGTGCATGGAGGGTAAGGTGAGCTGTGTGGCATTCTAATCAATCTCACCTTCCCAAGACCCATCTCGTCAGCGAGAATACCAATGATACCCTGTTCATACAAAGTAGCAAGCCAATTCAGACCTTTGAGTTGGTACTCCTTCAGCTGCGCCATGAGGATATTCGGTTGCTTGATCTTAAGTTCTCCAGTGAGTGACGTCGGATT